ACCTCGAGGAGTTCACCACCGTACCCCGGTTCTGACGGGATGTGACGAGTCTTACCGTTTGGAGGCTTTTCACCCACCTAACCCACGAGGACTCCGGTATATAAAGACCTCACCCCCCAAAGGGGGGGAGGAGGGGAAAGGGATGGTAACCCCTGTCCTCTAGCTCTCTCATTTCTCTCCAAGCTCTCATTTCACTCTAAGCTCTCTGTAATCAGAATGCTAACTTAGGCATCGGAGAGTCCCGCCGGGAAAATACCCCCGGGTCCTCTGATTCAGTTCTCGCAGGTCCCTCAGCTCCCGCCGCCTACAAAGGAGAGGAAATCACCTCATGCAGAGGGTAGTCGGGTTGCGCTGAACCAGGGAGCTCCACCATCCTCTGAGTTGCAGACTGCCTAGGAGCAGGTCAAATGATGAGTCCACCAGGGAGCTCGCCACCAGGCAGTTCGCCACTAGGCAGTTCGCCACCAGGCAGCTCGCCACCAGGCAGTTCGCCACCAGGTAGTTCGCCACCAGGCAGCTCGCCACCAGGCAGCTCGCCACCAGGCAGCTCGCCACCAGGCAGTTCGCCACCAGGCAGTTCGCCACTAGGCAGTTCGCCACCAGGTAGTTCGTCACCAAGTAGCTCTCCACCAGGGAGCTCGCCACCGGGCAGTTCGCCATCAAGTAGCTCATCACTAAGGCACGTCACCACCGGGTCAAATAACGAGGTACTTAGCCAAAAAATTTATACATCACAAAAAATGGTACATGACCAGAAACGGTTACATCACTACCCATGGTTTTTTCGGTGCAAATCTATATTTATACAGTCCGAACAGCTTCTTACAATTTTGCATTGAGAATATCTATCTCTTCATGAAATAAAGTACATAATTATGGAGAGATATACCCAATGGTTATTGCACTGATTAAAGCCGAACTCCCCAATAATATGTAAATATGGGAGATATTCTTAATGTACATTTGCTGTGACACTTAAATAAGTGTGGATAGGAAATCCTAACTGGATGGATAGAAGGATATCCATATCCTACCACATGTCAAAGATATATGTTTTTCAAGAGTCTATTTGGTTTTACAGTCAGAATTGGAAATTAGAATCAAAATCCCATGAAATTAAAATCGAAATGGTCTATTCTTTCACCTGTTTGGTCTATACAGAAATTGGAATTGAAATTGAAAATCAAATGAGATTATATTTGGTGGCTTGATGTTGATTTACCTCGTGGGAGGAGGGAGGCGTGAACAAAGGTGGAGGGAGGAAGGAAGGATTTTCTTTTCTTTTTTTTTTGTAGTTAGAATGGAATTCTTATAATTGGGCGCACAATGGGGATCTGATTTCCGATTCTGCCCAACTAAATGGCATGGGCCATTTCGGTTCCCATTTCCGATTCTTTTTTTTCTCTTTCTTTCTTTACTTTTTCCTTCAAATCCAACATAGCCTAACTTGCTCCATGAGAAGAGAAAAGATAGGTGACGGGCGGGTATATGAGTCGGGTGAAAGCGAAGAGAAAGGAAAAAAATATTCGGCATTTATTGTGAATTTGATTGCTGATGACTCGGGTCTACTGTGGGATAGACATGGTTGGAAATGTCATTGACATGATAACGTCAATGATTCCGTGGAGGGTTCACAGTCTCACAGAACCCGTTTCACAGTCTCATAGATATTCTCAATACAAGGTTGAGATGAGATGCAGGGCGCAAGTTATGCGCTGATTGGAATTCCAACAGGATAAAATATTGGAGAGTGATTCTCGCGACCGTGGTCGCTGCACTCAACGTTCCAAAAACTGTTGACGCTGGCGGATTTGGAACCATTAGACCGGTTTTTATTGTATATTGTGTTGTATATCAAATCAGCTTCCAGTCGTCGCTGTCGTCAACTCTAGACTCCAAAACATCGGGTTGGCACTTAATTAAGACTGTATGCAGGATGCATGTATTTTGGGATATGGATGAACTGTTGAAGGATTATTCCTCGGTCACTCGGAACTGTGGGAGTCCAGTTCTGTGAGCTCATGGGTGGGGAGGGAGTGGGACCCTTCACCAGTAAAGTTTTGTGATCTCATGACCATATGTACTTGGACCAGATTCTAAATGGGTCAACCGTGGCCCAACCAAGGATTGTCTCATTTTTTTTAATTAATAATATGCAAGATCTGGGTCAAACCTAATTACCCAAATTTAGTTCTACCTTGTTAAAAGAGGCAATTAAATAAATAAATCCAGTTGCACCAATTAGACCAGATCAGCCCAAGTAAACCGTGTTGGTCTTATTAAAACCTACCATTTAAAAAGCCTCCAAGTTCCTAAGAATAAAGCCCCGTTCGGGAGATAAGCTTGCTTTGAAGAAGCTACTTAAATTAAAGTTTTAATCAGGTTTTTCATCAGATATAGCTTATGGGCTTTTCATGGGGGCCCACCTTGCAAAGCCAGAACCAGAAGCCTCTGCTTTGAAATTCCTCCTAAATGAATTATCAAAAAAAAAAAAAAAGAAAAAAATCTCTCTACACATAGCATCCCACAAAAGTTTTAATCAGGCTTTTTTAGCTACATGTGAATGTGTGATGCGCTTCGGTCCTCATAGTGATGGGGTGCCATATGCTAGAGAAGTTAGGAAGGTTAGTGTATTACTGTATTGATAGTAGCGGGGATATATCATCTAATGTATTAGCCCACTGACCTATCCATCCGATCCTTATATGCTAATTTAAGGTTGTGTTTGGTATAATTGTCGTTTCGAAATGTTTGGGTTGATCAATAGAAATAGGAGTTAAAATATGAGTTGTCATGTCCAATGTTATAAAAACTGATTCAGAATCGGAATTGTTTTGGCCAATGGTTGTTGATCAATTCAACAGTTTTTGGTCGGGGACCGAATTTGGGGTAAAACGGAACCAGTTGTTCGGATAGTTCCCAATCCAATTGTCTAGGTCAACGACAGTTCAAAAACATTAGTCATGCCACACAACAAAAAATGTTTTGGGTTATCAATACAAATTGTTGTTGTTACTTGAAACATCAAATTTGGTCTATGTTTGGCATCGATGCTGTATGAACAATGAGAAAACGGTGCTGCTGATGTGTGGGTTGGAAGCAACGTTTTCTGAGAAAACAATGTCTTTCTTTTGTTTGGAAACATTGCTGCTAGGTTGGACGTTTCCTAGAACAACAACAACATCTTCTGTTTGGTACCAGTGCTCCATATCTATTTTCAGCACTGATACCCATTATAAGAAGTCAACGTCACTGTCACATCATGTTTTCATTGGAAACAACAATCTCTAATATGAGAAAATGTCATATTCGATGTTGTTCCAAACCACACTTTCTCGATTTCCAAGGCATGGCTTGGAGTACCATTTTTATGGAAAAATGGCTCTAAACATATTGACGCTTCCTGAAGCACCATTTTTTCCAAACAAACGCTTGATGTTTCAACTCTAAATAGCAATGATTAGTCCCCAATGTACCTTTTTCGGTTGAAGTGACTACATTGTTAACATGACAATTCATCTTTTTCATCAATTTTTAATTTTTTATTGATCAATCTCAAAATGTTCCATGAAGAAACTGCAACTTGGTACCAAATACAACCTAATTAAATTTGTTCCTCCTTGAAGTACAGGGTTGTTTTTGGGTAAATTGCTGAAACCTCTCCTCAAGTTTAATAATTGCAACCAACGCCCTAAAACTTCTTGATATAGTTGCAAGTAGACCCCCTCTATTAGAATCTTCTAGACATAAAAATCTCCAAAATATCCATATGGATACTTTTGGCCAAAATGTTTATTTTTCAAATTTTCTCTTCATATGAATTGCTACTCCAATCCTTCCATATGTTTTTCAAAATTGACTTATTTCCCAAAATTGCCTTTCACATCAATTGCTCAGGCTTAGTTCGGAAGCAGTACAAATGCAAATATGTACAACGTAAATACATACAAAATATAAAGTTTTGCACTCTACATATTTGCATTTGTACTCATTCCAAACTCAGCCTCAAGGTCAAATTGCAACTTTAAATTCACTCTCTCTCTTATTGTCATTCATGACGTTTGTATTGTTTTTCTGTAGAAACCAGCCTCA